AACACCTAGGGGAATGTCCATACTTGCGGAAATATGGTACTTCGTGAACACTTCAGAGGTTTTAAATCGGCACAAAATACTTACCGTGATGTGAGGAATAAATTTACACATTTTTGTGTTTGATGGTGGAGAATCTGCGCTTAAAAGATAATGACTACCGTAATTTTATTTTTGGAGTGTGCATTTTAGTGAACGCTCATCCTCTGGTCGATGCTAGATAATGATAACGCACAAAAAAAGAACTGTGACCCTTTTCGAGTTCGGATGCGTTCGACCACTAGCATCAGCATGAACATTTCAAAAATCCCCTTTATTGAGCTTTTAAGAAGACATTTTGGGGTAATCACGTATGATGCGGTCACCTCTAGAGTGGAGGAACGAAAAGAAGAATAAATATTGGCCTTCCCACCAAAAGTCAATCATCTCCAGCAGCTTTTCAATCCATTGTCGCTAAGCGGACAAATTGAAACCTATTCGTTGTGTAGTCAAAATCAATTCGCGTCCTTTTTCATGAACAACAAGTCTTGATTATTGATGATTTCGCGTAACTCGTAGCCCCACGGCTTCAGAGTAGCCTTGATTCTTTCAGTGGTTGCTGTACAATTCGTCGGGACGAGGGATCCGTTGTGCCAACACTCGACAACCAGCGCCTGAAAATCGGTAAGAAATGAACTTGCAACTGCCTTTCTTTCACGAGTGAACAGCATACTGTATAAGACTGCACATAAAATATGCCGCGAGTCCGTTGTCTCCGTAGCCTGATCTTCATTTCGACCCGCCTCTATAAATACGAGGGTTGTCTCAGTTGGACGCGACCTCTCATACTTTTGGAGTAAGTGTGATAGAAAGGAAATTTGTGGCGTAGCGCATATGGTGTTCTGGGGTTCTTTTCAGGATTTAAAATGTTTTTACAGTTAACTGCATGGTAAGTGAAATCTTCCCGTTTTATACAGCCCAAGTTCTGTGACCATAAAATAAGACGTGTCATCATAGCCTAGGTTCTGGATTGGTACGGTAATGTATTTCAATGTTTGTTTTACGCATTGTATCTATAAAATGCAGAAAATAATTATGGGTTTTAAAAATTTGGCTGGCCCAACACATTTTTAGCTCCCTGTGACACACCTACTCCATAACTTTCAGAGGTCGCGCCCAACTACTGAGACAACCCTTGTCCATTTCACAGAAACCGCCGATGACTACCGTAATTTTATTTTTGGAGTGTGCATTTTAGTGAACGCTCATCCTCTGGTCGATGCTAGATAATGATAACGCACAAAAAAAGAACTGTGACCCTTTTCGAGTTCGGATGCGTTCGACCACATCAGCATGAACATTTCAAAAATCCCCTTTATTGAGCTTTTAAGAAGACATTTTGGGGTAATCACGTATGATGCGGTCACCTCTAGAGTGGAGGAACAAAAAGAAGAATAAATATTGGCCATCCCACCAAAAGTCAATCATCTCCAGCAGCTTTTCAATCCATTGTCGCTAAGCGGACAAATTGAAACCTATTCGTTGTGTAGTCAAATCAATTCGCGTCCTTTTTCATGAACAACAAGTCTTGATTATTGATGATTTCGCGTAACTCGTAGCCCCACGGCTTCAGAGTAGCCTTGATTCTTTCAGTGGTTGCTGTACAATTCGTCGGGACCAGGGATCCGTTGTGCCAACACTCGACAACCAGCGCCTGAAAATCGGTAAGAAATGAACTTGCAACTGCCTTTCTTTCACGAGTGAACAGCATACTGTATAAGACTGCACATAACATATGCCGCGAGTCCGTTGTCTCCGTAGCCTGATCTTCATTTCGACCCGCCTCTATAAATACGAAAATTGTCTCAGTTGGACGCGACCTCTCATACTTTTGGAGTAAGTGTGATAGAAAGGAAATTTGTGGCGTAGCGCATATGGTGTTCTGGGGTTCTTTTCAGGATTTAAAATGTTTTCACAGTTTACTTATGCATGGTAAGTGAAATCTTCCCGTTTTATACAGCCCAAGTTCTGTGACCATAAAATAAGACGTGTCATCATAGCCTAAGGTTGGATTGGTACGGTAATGTATTTCGATGTTTGTTTTACGCATTGTATCTATAAAATGCAGAAGAAGTAATACCCAAAATTTTTAAACCGACCGGGTTGTGTAAAAATCGAGGGACACTGTGTGGATGAGGTATTGAAAGTCTCCAGCGCGGGTTGATGACTCTGTTGGGAACAGGTAAAGTGTCTTTGGCGGCGAATACAGTAGTACAGTACATCAATAATAAAGACCCAAAAGCTGTAATAGCCGATGGAATAAACGCACGCATACTCAGTTCAGTACCTTTATGTTTGTATCCTCGAAGGGTAGGGTTTCAAGGATCTCAGGTTCAGCGCCATCTACATCCAAGAAGAGAACATCCACTTCAAGAAGATCGGCCGAGGCGAGGATGTTGAGCAAGGGATAGCAGAAAATAACGCTGGGATCGTTAGATGACGGTAGTGGCATGAAGTTCAAACTCTGCCCTGGTCGCATCAGTTTCTTTGCGTCTTGCAGCTGAATAAACAAATGAAACAAACCGCAATACCTAACAACTTTCCTTGAAACAAAACTCGTACAATTTAAGAGTGTAGACGAATTTTTTAAGAGTAGGAGTTGCAGAATAATTCTGATGAATGACACTGGGTGTGTAACGTCAACAACCAGAGATCGTGCGACGAGCATGCATTTGTTAATGGTAAGCCTTTTGTTTCTAACTTGTAACTACAGTACTCCTAGATTTGAAAGTAAAAAATTGCACATATTCAAATTAAAGTAAATCAGAGTATACCATAGACTCATAGAGTCTCTTGAAATGAAAATTGTAAAATACAAATTCTTGTAAATTAAATTGTGAAATACAAATCTGATTTTTTAGTGGCATACCCTTGCATATCTATGCAATGATACTTTGCAGTATTTTCACTCTCTTATTCACAGCTAAAGCTACAGTATTCTAAATTGGGAAACAATAAAATAATTTCATTCAGTTAAGTGCAAATCTGTACAGTATTGACTTTCTAAGCCTCCAGCCAGCAAATGTATTGGTCTTCCTTTGTTTTTTATTTATTTATTTTAAATATCAGCTGCAGCAGTTTCTAAACAAACCTGCTAATGAACATTCTTGATTATATTAGCCATTATAGGCCTCTGTCCTTTGACAAAAAGTTTGATGTGAGCATATGCCATGTATATATATATCCAAGGCACACCTTCATTTTTCATTCTGAAAAGGTGATAATCATTCTTGTAGGAAGTTCTTGGGGGTTGATATTCTTGTTAGGTACTTGATTATCAATCCTATATACACCCGCAGCAGTTGAAAGTACTGAACATCAGTATCGGCAGAAGCTTGTGAGACACAATTCTGAAATATCTAGAATAGCTAGTTCAATAATTAAGTGCACTGAATTGATTTGTTAAGCAGTATTTGAAAATTTTGCATCGTACATTTCAGGGATTTTATGATCAGATTTTCATAATTGATATTTTTTCTTGAAAGGATGTGGGCGTCTGATTCATCTTCATTTTTTTATAGTTCCTGATCCTGACACTGAAGTAGAAGTAGCAAGGGTGGCAGTAAATTAGGGGCATGGAGCATTGCTTCCCAACGCAGACGTGCACATTATTATAGGGGCCATATCAGTACAGTATATGATGGGTGGTTCATAAAATTTGATAAACATAGGAGGGTTGTCCAACTTCCAATTGACCTTGGGTATTTCTAGACTAGGCATGCTTTGAAAAAAAAAATCACAATTTAGCCCAACCTATTGTGAGGTTCCGGGATTTTTTGTTGTTGAACATTTTCAGATTTACTGCAAGCAATATGTGAAAACTTTCCAGTATTGGCAAAGGGTTTTCTTCCACATCACAAGCTGTTAAAATGTTTCATGCCCCACAAAAACATGATTTTCATTGTTTTTAAAACAATATTTCCTAAATTTCCTGTAGTTCTCAAACTTTTGCAATGATTATCTTGTTTGTCACAAATTAAATCATAAGTTCATTTTTCCAAAAGCAATTTCTCATTTTTGATGTTTTTTTTCTCCTTGAAAAAATCATCCAAAGCCTGGTTTCTGCTTGTGATATGTTTCTTATTATCATGATATTTTATGAGACTTCTGTTCATTTATTTTTTTATTTTCTGCCTCAAGGTCTGAAGGCAAGATAATGGGACACGCTAGTCTATAAGCAGTTATCGATGCTGTTCCTGTTTTATTTTTGCTGGAGTTTTCTCCCCATTGCACAGGGTTCATCCCTGATTCCTATGATTTTTGTTCCAGGAAAAAAGAGATGGTACCTATATAGTCTAGAAATACCCAAGGTTGATCTGAAGTGGGACAACCCTTGTATGAGTATCAGCTTTTATGAACCAACCCTCTTGGCCTCTTATATTATTTTTCTTAAAGGTCAGTTTGAGGCGGGGAGTCATTTTGAAGGCCACAAACTAAAGACAATTTGAAGAAGTCAAACTTTTACTTTTTGAAGAAGTTTCAAATTCAATGAAATCCTGTATGCATTGAAAAAAGCATTGTCTTATATACAGAAATCTTGAGGGGTGGGTCTAAATATTTGAATGTTGAAATGGATCTTTCAATGCATATTTTGAATATTGGTGGCTACCATTTTGAAAATTATTGGGAAGGGTCTGCAGGATTCTGGATGTAGAGTACCTCATGTTGGGCAGCACTGCATGGTGATGCACAGGGATATTCAGTTGAGGTAACTTTCATAGGCAGAATGGGGTTGTTTGCTACATTTTGGTTCACTCAGACTGATTCATAAAAACAAAGCTACAATGAATATTTTGAACTTCAAAATGCATTGGCTGTTTTGATGCCAAAGTGTTATATACGTTTAATGATTAAGAATATACAGCACAGTAAATGTTATGTATATACAATATATCTGCTTTACTGCATTTTTACCATATGTAAAATACCCACCTCGGACGGTTGACCACTGGGACTGATGCAGCCTTGAAGCGCTGCCACTCGGCGATTTTTTGCAACAAGCCGAGAATGTTGACTCGGATTTGCTTCTACTAGAAGTCCTGTCCAATTGAACATGGTCTCCAGATACAACGTGTTGGACATTTCTTCACCATCAAAAGCACCTGCCTCCACAAATGTTCCTCCAGTCTTGAAAAAATAATGAAATCACTTTTACAAAATTTTTGGTTTCCTGGGGATTGAAAGTTTTCTTAATTCAAAATATATTTTCAATGTTTTGGAGACATAAATGCGAAATTTAGATTGAGCTGGAATATATATACAGTACAGGTGAACCTCAATAAGTCAAACCTTCCTAAGTTGTATTCCTCTCTGGGTCAAATTTTTTCAAGTCCATGTCTGAATTCCCTTAGAATCAATACATTATAAACCTCCCTAACTCAAAGTCTTTTTTCTCTTGTTGTCCAAATCAGCTAAGAATTTTATCTTGAAACACTTTTGACTAAGGAAGAATGTCTTCTTCCAAAAGATCAATTAATCTAGAGATTTTAAATTCTATCAGACAAACTTTCAATGAGAAGATTTAGTTCTTATGGCCGGGGTTTTAGAAATGAAACACAACTTCTTGATTTAGAGTGTGAAATGTATATTTCTGTATTACTTCAGTCAACACCAGACTCACAATGAATGTCTGTACAACATGCACAGGTACCTTTTATAGATTTGACACTTTCCAGACACAACTGCGCAAGCAGACGGAGACACTGCAAAAGGGGGCAAGGTAAACGACCACAAACCAGACAAGTGACCTTGTCCACTTTGGAGCAACAAGTTGCTAGGCAAAGCTGTTTCACGTTCTGGTACGTGACTCAAAAACAGACAGTATTATTAATGTGTAAAGGGACACAGGAAATATGACTTGGGTTACAAACTCTCCCCAGACAAATTGACGAAAAGTTCCACCTTTTCAAGAGCCATGAAGTCAATTTGTTCAAAAAGTGCTTTTAGGCTTTTATACCACAAGTGAACTCAAGAAATATCAATGAAGTGAAATTCAAAATGTCTGGGCATTGATTCCCATATGACAATTCAAAGCATTGAAAAGTTGAAGAATCTCTCTGGTGTTCAATTTGAACTCACATATTTGTGTGGCACCCATGTGAGGATTCTCAGATGCTGGGAGTTCAATGGGTTCACTCATGAACTGGAATGTGGCAAAAAGTCACACTCTGGGAGAGTCACACAGGTATCAATACTTGTTTTTTCCCTTCCTGAGACATTCCAAATGGATTTAAGTCTCATTCTTGGCTCTTTTCTGGAGGAAGCAACATCTCTAGTGAGTTTTGGTGAAAGTCTTAAATTGTGCTATTTTTCCAGTGCATCCTGATTGATTCTTTTGCTGTGTTCCCTTTTGAAGGTTAATCAAACCAAACCTTATGTAATAATACTAATAATTGGAGAGCTGAGTTTGGAGTGATCTGGGCCAATTCTGGGGGCTGGAGAGACAGGCATTTGAAGCACACAACGATGCCAAAAAAGTCTGTGATGCTTGGCAAAAATCTGCATGGAGCAACAAACAAAGGTTAGAAATGCCAAAAACAAGACTATTGGACCTCATCATCCAATTTGGGAAGTGATAAGGGCAAGTGGGGTCCAGAAAAACACAAATATCAGTGACAATGGGGTTCCTGACAGGGGTGACACTTACATTAGTTTTGGTAAGTTTCAAACCCAAAAAGCCAAAAATACACATTTCTTCAGTTGAACTCTGGTGTTTTTTCAGGTATTCCTGATGCTGCAAGATGGTGGCTGCTCCATCTGTTCCAAAGTGGGGGGCAGGCTCAATTGCAGTGACATCTGTGAGGTGAGGAAGCCTTCCAACTTCAAGTTCCAGGTGGATTTTGTTGGAGACTCTTTGGACTTGGACTGCATCAGGTATAAAGGTTTAAAAGTGAGTACCCCTATTTCTTTCAACATTTGAACCAGGAAAAAACTAATCAATATGTTCTTTTTTCTGATTTTCACAGGAAGTCAGGCTGTTTGGAAGGACCTACTGCTCTGGTAAGACCTTGGGCATGGAGTCTGTGGTTCAACCTTGGGACCTATGCTTCTTCAACTTCAACAGTAAGTGGAAGAAACTAGAGTTAAAGGGCATCTAAATCAGTCTTTCTGAATTTTCAGAGAAAAAGGACCCACAAGAAGGCAAAGAAACCAAGACCTCTACATGGTGGACTACAACTTCAACAACAGTTCCTGAGACAACCACCCAAAGGATCAAGACCACATCAGCTCATCTGGAGGACAGGATCACTTCACCACTGCAGGACCAAGACAGCTCAACAGTGTCACTAGTGCCTGTCATTAGCCCAATTAGTGTTGTAGAGGAGATAGGGCCCCAACTTGTAGATTCTTTGGATGTGGGATCTTCTATTATTTCTACTGAGAAGGCTAAATCTAATCAACCAACTAAGGGGGATTTTGCAGATTTGTTGAACAATCTGGGCAATGTTTCCCAGCATAATATGTCTGCATCCTTCCCTAATGGGACAGTAGTTCATGTAGAAGTCCCTGAGTGGTTTCTGCAAGTTGCCATATATGGGCTAGTAGCTTCTTTTGGATTGGCACCCCACTAGCTATTGTGATTGTTTGCTGTTGTTGTTTGAAAATCAAGGTGTGTATAGGAGGATATATTTGAAAATAACTCCTATTATAATTGGTTTTGGGTTTTCTGCTGCTATGCTATTGCTTGTTTGAAAATTAAGAGGAAATCAAAGTCAAAGACAGCAAAGGAAGTGAGGGGGCTTGTCAGTGAGTTTCCAATCCTCTTTTTGAGGAGGAGTTGGAGATGGCTGAAAATGCCTTCTCTTGCAACAATTCAGCCTTTGATGTCCTCTTTCAGTATTTTGCATGATCCGCTTGATTGTTGCTTTTGTGCTTGACTCTCGTCTGATCACCAGGTCCAGTCAGAAGCTCTGTCCGTTGCTTTTCTCCATTACAAAGTTGCAGGCAAACAGCAAAAGAGCCCCCCCTTTGAACAATGGGTAATAGATTGAGATAAAGAGTCTTGTTTCCAGGTTTGACTGGTACTGTACCAATTCTTGAGACAAGATTCTTGAGGTTGGTATCTAGAACATTGATCTTATGATATAGAAGGTTCATGGCTACAGATCCAGGGCCTGTTAACTTTACTTCTTCCTTTTCTACTGATGTTTTAATGGTTTTTGCAAAGCCATATACCTTTTTTTCAAATTCCATTCAACAAATGATATAACTTACCCAGATTGATTGTAGATTCCATCGTCCAAAATGTAGTGGGAATGCACATTTTATTAAGATCTTCAATTGTCTCTCCTACTTTCCCAGGGAAGGTTCTAATCAGGGAAATATTATCTAGTCTATTAATATTGGAAATTATTCTGTGATCTTCTGCAACTTCTTCAATCAATAAGCCTTGTGTTTTTGGAAGAAAGAAAGCAATACATAGGGGGATAACCAAGGATGATCTTAGGAGCATGTTGACGTGTTCAAGCTTTGAGGACAACTGCATAGTTACAGTACTTATCTGGGTACTGATGGTGACCTTCTTTCTGCCTGTCTGCGCATGCATGTAGGCAGGATGTTGTTGCTATCTATACTGCTTAGCATGTGTGGCTTCACTGGCTTCTTTCCTTGTCCTTGTTTGGTTTCTTCCTGTTATTCTTGCTCTTCCTGCTGTTCCCCTTGCTGTTCTTGTTGTTTTCTCTTTGCTTCTTTCTCACACTCTTTCTTCTTTTGTCTTTTTGATGTTGCTGAGCTGGGGTTGATTGCAGAAGCAGCTCCTCTGTCTGGTGTCTGCAGCAGCAGCATCTGTGACCTTCTTGGCATGCTAGACAACTTGGGTGGTGCAAGGATGCTGTCAGTGACCACTGGCAAGGTTGTCTTGGTTGCCTCATTGTTGTCTGAGCCAGAGCCAGGTGAGAAAAACTTTCCTAGTTCAGTAGTCACTTCTGAAAGAAAAGACTTATCAGTTTTGCTGCTTTTGGGAGTTGCAATGACAGTTTGATTAGTATCTTCTGTAGAAGCAAAGGATTCATTCCTGACTTCATCCATTTCTGGTTTTGGATCAGGAGAATGAGTTGGAGTTCCCTAGAACATCAAATCAGGTGTGGAAACCTCAAATTCTATTGTCTTGTTGGCTGACTCTTCAATTGGTTCTTTTGATGCTTCTTCTGTTTCTGGATTAATTTCTTCCTGGACTATTGAGGGATCAACTTTTGGTTCTGGATCAGCTTCAGTAGTTTCAATTGGTTTTGCTGGGGACTGTTGGATTTCAACAGTTTTCTCAGGTGATTTTGGGGACCATGCGTTTGGGAATACCCTCTTTTCAACTTCATCAAAATCATATAATTCTTCCAGTTCTAACTGTACTGGGTTTTCATTTGTATTCAATTGGGATTGATAAGGTTGGATGTAACTGGTATGAACTACATTGGTCCAATCAGTATGTTGGTCATCTCTTATCCATACCACAATGGGGTTAACAACCTCTAGGATTATATAGGGACCTTTATATTTGGCACTCCATTTCTTTCCCACAAAAGAAAGAGGGTGTTGTTTTAGCCAAACTTTGTCCCAACGTTATAGGCTGTTCCTTTCCTATGTTCATTTAACCATTCTAAATATGAAGCTTGACCTTTGCAAATTGCCTTCTGAGTGTGTTCTCTCAAGGACTCTAATTGTTCCTTTTTTACTTTGCAATACTCCCTGATACTTTGGAACTGCTCCAAGTTTTGTTGGCTTGAGAGCCAATTTCTTCTTGGTTTTAATTCCCCTTACGATTTTGAAGGGAGAGGCCTGCAAAGCTTCATGTTTGGAACTATTATGGACCCATGCTGCTAATTTTAGTAGTTCATCCCAGGTACTTTGATTATTGGAATCTAAATAGAGTGCCAGGTATTTGTGTAGCTCTCAATGGGACCTTTCATTTTGTCCATTTTCTTGGGGCTGTTGTGTTTGCTCTGGCGCTCAGAAAACTAGCCATATTGCAAAACATACTACTTACAAAGTTTGTTCCTTGATTGGTTAAAATTCTCTTTGGGGCTCCAAACATGCAAACCCAATTGGTTAAAAACAATCTAGCTGTTGTTTTTGCTGAAGCATCTTTCATTGCTGAAAAGACTATCCAGCGGGACAACCAATCTTGAATAACT